GTGGCAAAATTTCAGCGATTAGGCTTCAAAGAACTGAGCAGCGGATCAGAATGCAACTTTAAAGCGTATTTCAACTTTAAAAAGCAGATTGAAATTCCCTATGAAAACGAGTTTCATTTCCGGGTCACGTGACTGAATCTACCAATGACAGAGCAACAACGGGGTGGGTTCCTATATTGCTGACTCAGAGGAAGTGACACAGCCACGTCACTCACTTCTCAGCGAATCACAGCGTCCCAACTCAGCCGTTTTCAACCAATCACGGATCGTTTTTCCAGCTAGCGTGTAGCATTTAGCCTGAACAAGTCCGTCAACTTTTCGTCTTTTAAACTGTCAAAATGCACTATTTTCTGTTAAAAATGTAACGAATCAACTCTGAGCTTAACGGAGGCGGCGCTCCGGTCTCAAAACGTCTTTACAACCATTTAAAACAACTCGTTCGAATTTATCAGAAACGAGCCGGACCAGAGTCACGTCTGGACCATAGTTCAAACAGAATAACGTTTTCACACAAACCCAGCTTCAGTTACACATAACAGACGTACATTTCAGCTTTTAAACAGACATATTGACTCTCAATGTCAGCTTTCAAAACATCACTGCATGCAAGAACCTTGCTGTATTTTCTCCGAGCATCGCCGCTCAACACGCTGCGTTTTCTCCAAGCGTCGCAGCTGCGCTGCGTTTCACACAGCAAAATCTGCACTTTTCATGCCAACATGATAACAATTGTTACACGAATACACAGTCCATTTTATGAACCCGTAACGGGCCACCAGATGTAGTATGAACATATGCTGTCATATATTCATAGATAAAACGGATTCTTTCATTTTTCTGGACTGTATAATGACGTGCATCTGAATTTAATAAAATGTAGACGTGAGACGTTAATTATCTTTGACTCACCAACGACAGTGGGTCATTTATTAACAGAATCAAGTTTAACACATCACACATTTACATTAATTGGCAAAAATTGAAAATAACGACAGCTTATTAATCAGTTTTTACAGGAAGTAAACAATACGGCGATTGTTTTCTCACTTCCAGCAGAACAGCAGACATTAATCACATGGCGGTGATTGAAAAACTTTGCTTCAGACATTTCTAAAAATATCTGTAATGATTTTTAGCAGATAGAATTTTAAAGATGGGAAATGAAGTTTAAGTTGAGAGAGATGTGTGAGGGAATTTGTCTGTCCTAACCAGAACCAGCACGCTCCTTCTTTTCCAGCTTGGCCCAACGGTACGCTTTGGTTGAGATTGACTCTTTTACCTTTGCAGATGATAGTTTCAGCGTTGGTGTAGAGCTCTCCTTTCAACTCTTTCAGCGTCTCCGTAAGAACAGCTAAACCTCGGGAGTCGTGAGATCATCCAGAACAGACATTTCATAATTCCCAGATCTTCTCTCGTTCAGCTTGATTTTTCTTCCTCCAGCATCCTGAATTCCAGCCTTCATGAACTCTGGAATTGCTGTTAACTAGGAAGTGGAACCTCTTGCAGCACTCCCGTGAACTAGGAAGTGCCAACATTTAAAGGGCTCTATTTCCGGTTCATTTGGGAGTTTCTGATTGGTCGATGGACCAAAACAGAGGTGTGTTTTGTGATGTAAGGTGTTATGAAAAGTCAAGGAAAAAGATTAAGATTGTTTAAGAACAGACAAAAGATATTATGAAGAACTTCAGACTTCGTGGAGTCAATTCTCTAGTATCTTGCTGTAAAAGTTA